ACCCCCCCCCCCACTTTTCGAATAATAGGTTAGAAAATGTTTTGGAAAGTTTACTCTAACGGATCTTAAGCAGTAGCAGTTCTTTCTGACTGGGAACCCTCTTTTGTTCATTTTCTAGATGTTTTATCGTGTTTAATGATATGATGTATTTTCGAACTTGTTTAGTTTGGTGTTTTATTATCCTCAAGCTAATCTTACCAATTTTGATAGCTTTTGATATCTTCTCTGAATCGGACTGTTTATAAAAGGAATGTGGAAAGAAGCAAGTATTTTCTAAAAGGGGCATTTTCCGGCGTTCTAATGGGCGTGTCCTCAAACGTTTTCGATAACGCCCTTCTCAGCTACTTTGCCCTTAGACTGAAGCGCGGTGCCTGCTGTGTAGCTACATAAACAGCAGCCGAAGGTTCTGTATCTCAAGCAAAGATCGTCACTTTAAATATGACAGACTTGTAAAAGACAAGTTGTCAAGGATTAAAATCTTTATTTGTGTTGAACTTTTGTTTTTTATAACAGATCGCGACTCGTAAATATCACAAAATACATGCACACAATACCTAGTTGAATCTTTGACTCTTGGCCAACGAAAGGCTCAAGGGTGTGGCTGCGATTATCAATCCGGGAGTGTGTGCTTCTACTGATAAGAACTACAGCAGGGGCCATGCCAAATTAGGTCAATGGGACTGTAGCCCTAAATTTTCAGTAATATATGCGGGCATCAAATTTCAAGCCACCCTCTGCTTTCAAAGCTAATCATTGTTGAACCCCTACACAGGTCCGATTCCTCGTAAGATTCATTAGGAGGCTCGCCTCCTTCTCATAAGAGAGTAACTAGCCCCCTCGTAACAACAAGTTATGCTGTTATCTCTCAAGCACTTCTCTCTCCCGATGCGCCCCCTTCCCGTGTGTACCGATCGTATATCATAAACATGTTATTTCTGCGTGCGACGGGGAGATGGTTTAATGAAAATTCTGATGCTAGCTTCCAACAGGACGATCGGGAGGCATCGTCACGTTGCGATTTCATATGAAGGAGTCTGGATCCCTGGGCTAAATTTTCAAAAAAAATTACTTTATCTTAAAAGTATTAGAACGATAAAAACCTATGCAATTCAACTTTTTCGCGTCATAATTGCACAACAGTTTCCCGCTATTTTGTATCCCATTTTTACGATCCTCTCGCTTTTACGAACGCAAAATTTGTTTCCTTGGAATTCTCACTGAAAAGCACATCCTCGCTGTTATGATTTTTGCTTGGCCTCTACGATTGGGCTTTAGCAGAATCCAACTGCGCATATTTTTTGTTTCCTTCTAACTTGGACTACAGAACCTTGAAAAAACACCACGAAATATCTAGGAAGCGATTTTACCAGTGGATCACTGTAGTTTTTGCCTAGTTTTATGTGGCAATAATTTTTACTAGTTCAAAAATTCCATGTGGAAAGAACTGGTGCTCGTGTGGCCATATATCTAACTGATGTGTAACAGATCCAACTACTTTTGCACTTTCATTTTGCACAAAATGTATAGTGCACTTCCAGCCAATGCTGTCCAAGTTGAACGTTCTAAAAGCATGTTATTATGACGTCATAAGTTAAGATCTCTCTGTGTTCGCAAGAGCAGTGAGCTCTGCATCTGGCCACCTTAAACCAAGTTAATCTCGTATTTAGATCGTGTTAAATATGCTTTTCTCTCATGCTATCGTCTCATTTGAAGGATAAGAACCTTTAGAACTCCAGATCCTTCTCTATCGCATACAAAGCCCAAATATCAAAGGTGATATTCGATGTCTTTTGTGAGATCAGTAACACTGATTAAGGGTTTTTTTATTCAGTAGCAACATAGGTTTAAAGATGATGGTGCTCTGAACAAAGGGGTTATTAGCTTACGGATCAGGGAGGTCTGCATGAAGGAAAAATTGCTAACCAAGCACACCTAGATGGCAAAATACTTTTTGCATATGGAACGGAATTTTTTCAAGAAGAGGGGTATGAAACCTTCCCATGGCGAAAGCCCTGTGTGCATAGGAGGGAAGTTACCTGGTATTTGAAGCCTTTTTGATGCAATATCTTATTTAAGGGGGTCTCGTCCCCCATCTACTCTGACATTACCCTTTCGGCCTTCTTCACTATAGAAATTGATACTTTGACATTTGCCTGGTTGTATTAAACACTATCACATAATAGATGCATCAGACACTTTCAATACACTCTTTACTTGCAAACCTTATGGATTGGCTTTCTTTCAAATATGGTGTTTGTCAAACAATAAATGCCCACTCAAAATTAACGAGACCTATGGTCTCGTTAATACTGTATATAAAATGATCTAACTTTTGATAAAGGCACAGTTGATCCTGTTTTACGTGACAGCAGTAGCTGAGCAGTGTTCATTTGGTCTCGAAGTAGCAATCATTACGTTTAGCCTATGAGTTACTAAGACACACCACAAGTTGTTCTGTTGCTAGCAATGGTTATTCTATAACCTTTACAGAAAATTCACAACGCTCTGGCAGGTAGATTCGCCTGCAAAATTAAGATAATTCCCCTCTAGATGTAAAAAATTGAAACACAAACCTGGTACTTGTAGAAACATTCACAAGATCGATACACTCGCGTTAATCTTTCCAAGCCTCCATTAGCTTTATATCTGTTCCTTTACCAGTGCGTGATATAAACGATATGCGTCTCTCACACTGCGATTTATGTTGTAAACAATATTGCTTCTACATTGTTTGCCAGCAAGGAAATGTAATCGAATTTTCCGGTATGGATTTTTGCTTTATTACTGCGTCAACCTTGGCTATTGCAGATGTGTTACTAAGGGATTGTACGGGGGTTTCGCTGTGGCACAAAAGTGGGCGTTTCACATATTTGGCTAATGATTTTCAAAGGGACAGTGGAATGAGTTTATATGGAGGGCAGATCTCTATTGCTGGGTGCAGGGGGCGGATCCAGGGCAAACTTGAAGGGGGGCAGTTGGTAGTGGGGGCGCTGAAAAATTTTCAAAAATTGATATCGAGATTACGCTGTTTACAACAATTTCAGATCTATTTTCGGAATAAACAACATAACTTTGAAGTAATTCTTGAAGCAAATTAACCTATCGGTCTCAAAAACTTTTCACCTGATTCTCATTCTTCAAAAGGGGCGCACAATTTCCAAAAAAGGGGCGCTATACTTGCTTCAAGTCTCCGAGGGAGGGGCAACTGCCCCTAGTTGCCCCCCCCCCTTAAATCCGCCACTGGCTGGGTGTGGTCTTTAGGTAGTTTCGCAATTGTTACAAACTAGTAGCCAACTAGCTATGCAAGGCTGGCTTGGCAATGAGGGTCTCAGACAACAGATCGAATAGTCTGAGGTTTGAGTCCATGAGCAGGAGATTTGCAAGCTCACTGCAATTCTAAACATTGGAATGGCGAGATGTGATCACGCCAAGAGGAAAGCCCAGGACACTGCTCGATAAGCATAGCTTCTAAGATTTCCTAAATCATAGTTTAATATGCTCAAGTCAACCTTTGGAACCTAGTTAGTAACATGTAGAAATTTTTAGGTCTTGCGATGATTTTTCTAGATACTGTTATTTTGCAACTGCCCACATCCTTTTTCTATTATATATATCTACTGTGAAGGATAAGCAAATTTCAAGATAACGCTATTGACTCTGTTGACCTTTAGAGTTATTAAAATTGACTCTGTTCTTCTTGAGTTTTAGTTAAGTCCTAACCCACTACCTCAACGCGAGTCCCAGGGAGTGACGTAACGTTTATCTTCATACTACACGGAGAAACATAACAGGTACCGAGGAGCAGGGGGGACTGAGGGGCTTTAGCCCCCCCCCCCACTTTTTGCAGAAAGTGCCCAATATTTAGTACTATACCACCAATAAAGCCTCTTTTTATAAGGTTTAAGCCCCCCCCACTTTTTAGACCCCCTACTTTTCTCAACGCTCCGCGTTGCCTGCATAATGCAGTTTAGAGCACCTTATAATGATAACTAAGGACCCCCGATTAAGGGGGTCACAAAATATATCTATACCCATATTTTGAAGCACTCATCTGTCCCTCAGTTAACAAGAAAAATTACCAGTTTTGCATCCTGCTATTTCATAAGATATGCAATACACAATTCAAAGAACCTGCTGCCAGTCCGTAAATAGGGGTTCCGTGTTAGTTTTTCCCAAAGGCCTCAAGCACCTCCTTTGCGCTACAGGCACACTTTACCGATGAGGCCCCCGTCAAATTTTTCCGTGCTGCATAAACTGTCTCTTCTGCAACCACAGGTCATTTTACTCAACCAGGTTTAACAAAAAGCTAATTCAACTTATTAAAAATGTTATGATTCACTGCATAGGGTATTTTAGGCAGTCAAGCGATTTTTCCAGTTGGGTTGTATCGTATGGAAGTTCTTTGTTGATAAGTATTTGCGTTGTCCTGACCATCGTCGCAACACTTTGGTAACAGATTCAAATATGTTAGATTCAGGGAAATTGTCTTTTCAGCAAATTGAAAGGCGTCCGTTTTAGTCAAAACAAGGACAGAAATATTTCTGCTATATCAGCTCCGAAAACTGTTTGACTGGAATAGAGACAAACTTTGAGATTGTGCAAAGAAACAATATTGCCATTCATAATCACTGACATTTTATGATTGGCATCATATCGATCATTGTCAATCATCGTCACTGTTCGTGGTCGTTTGTTCCAATCATCATCACCTTCAATGAATCAACCAATCACAGTCATCACCATCAGTCATTACAATCAATCAGTCAATCAATCCATCAATCAATCAATCATAACGATCAATCAAACAATCTTTTCAATCAGTCAATCATAATCAACATCAATCAATCAATCATAATCAATCAATCAATCAATCATAATCACTCAATCATTACTGAATCATATTCATCTTCCCCTTAACTTGATCAATCACTCATCATTAGCTTTTCGTTGACATGACTATTTTCCGTCTTTCTCACCATTTTCGAATGATTTCTTTGCAGCTACAAATGGGTCGTCCCTCTGTCGTACGTCACCCAAGATAAACCTCACGATGCAAAGACAATCATCATGAACATGACATCAGGTGAGCAAACCTTTGTTTTTACACCAGGTCTTGTCTTCGTCAAATTTACTCTCTCCCCCCACAGGGAGCCACCACGAAAAGACATCCCTACGGGCCAATGCTAATGTCCTCCTTTTTGTCTAATATATAGTTTAATTGTTTAGATCAAAACTCTTTTCATATTAAAAGAATTTATTTCTTCTTCCAGGAACTCTCAGCGGTGTATCTGAGTCAAAATGGATCAAAGCAAACTACAAATCGACTGGATTTTTCCGAGTTACATACAGCGACGCAAACTGGAAGCTTTTGGTTGACCAACTCAACACAAATCATTCGGTAACCATATTTGATGTTAACGTTCACGTTTACGGTCACATTTGTATTCACATTTGCAGTTAAGCTAACGTCACTTTTACGGTTACGTTTACGGTCTGTTTACGGTCACATTAACGGTCACTTTTGCAGCCACCTTCAAATTTACGGTCCGTTTACGGTCATATTCACAGCCACATTCACGATTACTTTTACAGTAACGTTTATTTTCACTTTCACGGTTACGTTTACGGTTCTGTTTACGGTCATATTTACGGTAAATTTTGCAGCCACCTTCAAATTTACGGTCCGTTTACGGTCATACTTACAGTCACATTCACGATTACTTTTACAGTAAAGTCTATTGTCACTTTCACGGTTACGTTTATGGCCACTTTTACTGTTAGGTTTACAGTTCTTTTTAGGGTCACATTTGCGGTAACTTTGAATTCACTTCTATAGTCAAATTTGCGGTTCGTTTACGGTCATATTTACGGCCACACTTACGATTACTTTTACGGTAACGCTTATGATCGCTTTCATGGAAAAGTTTATGGTCGTTCCTACGTTCATATTTACGGTAAAATTTACGTTAGCTTTTAACGAAGCATTTAAGGTTACGTTCACAGTCACTTTTGCGGTAACGTTTACCGTAGCGTTCACGTTTGTATTATGCCGCATCCATTAGACATCCATCATTGTGAATTGTTACTTTCTGTTTCGTTAAATTTCACCATCTTATCATGTTTTGCATTTCTTTTCATTACCTTGACGTGCCATCGTTTGTTTATCCTGCGTCACGTTCTTTTTGCCAGGTATTCGATCCGCTGGACCGTGCAGGAATTATCGATGACGCATTCAATTTGGCCAGGTACTGATAGTGTTTTACTTATTCAGTTATAACTGTGTCCTCGTTTTCAAGCAAACATCCAGAAGGAGGCATGGAAATATGACGTTTTTCTTTTTCTTTTGGGTAAAAAGGCAAGAAATCTGTAACTGATAATTGCAGATCAGGGTACATTTTCTGAGAGTTTAAAACTGGCGTAGTGATTATGTCAGAGAATCCAAAGGCAATCAGAATCAAGTTTGGTATAGATTTCATTTAAGATGATGCTTTACACCTTTGAATGCTCTTCATTTTTCGTTAGGTTTCGTTTGAAGTTTTTTATTCGATATTTGACTAAATTTTCTTTGAATATTTGACTCAAGTTTTTTTATCATTAAACTGCGTGTAAGAACTAACACCTTTTGTGCGGAGGTGATCCGAAAACCTGCATCAAGTTTTCTTTGAAAAGATAATTTTCCTCTAATTCTGTACCAGTTTTTTGTATTCAAAACTCTCTTGAGGGCGCAAAAGCTTGGCATCGATTTGATTAGATGAATTGTTTATGTGCTGCTACTTCGCACCTTCCCAAAACGCATCGAAAGAAACTCGAGGCCAATGTCCACATGACTTACTGATAATGGGCCTAAAATATGACAGATTTTCTAGATTTTTGCGTCTTGCTAGCGTTTTAGCTGCCATCTTTCCCTGCAAGGTGTGTATCATATCATATTTATCACATACAATTTTTTTTGTCTCGGTACCTTTTGAATTCTAGCATCGGATAAAAGCAAAGCCTTGATTTCTCATTAAAATCCTGAAGCCTTCCGTATTGCGGGCCTATATCAGGAAAGTAAATATGGACAAATTGTTTAGATCATGATTTTCTAATGAAATTAGCCGAAAAGATCTTTGACTTAAAATTCTTGCAAGCATTGGTATTTTCGGCTGGAGAGTGGTGTTTCAAAATAAAAGTGACACCTAGACAGTGGCGGCCATTTGCAGCCCAGGGTACTTTTTTCCCTTTAGGGCTGTACAGCATAATAATATAATTTAATCTTTTTTTTACATTAGGCGTTCTTTGCAGTAGTAGCTTAAAGATAAGCTAATTAAAGCCTACTATTTACATGAATAGAAATGATAATATTATACAGTGATATAAAAGCTATTTAAAGAAATAAATTAATATACCTAGGATTTAATTAGATAAATAGCTGAAAATAATCATGTTAGATAATTCATATCAAAAACCCGACCTGTGCTACAAAGGTTCTACACAACCTGTAGGATTGCGGTTTGTATTTTCCTTGGTCGACATTTCCATAACTTTATCGTTTTTTCTAGTCCCACTTTGGAACTGATGTATCTTGCCTGTTCCACAGAATAGGAAATAGGCAGAAGGGTAACTCTCGTCGGTTCCTTTGTTGTTTTTGAAGCCTGAGTCAACAATAGAAATCCTTAATTCCCCTTTAACCTCGACTTCATTAGACGAACTTAGCCATGACAAATTATCATTCATTAATCAGATATAAACGAATTATGATACTTAATTGAATTTGTTGTCTACTTTCGTTCTTGTTGTCTTAAAGTTGTCTACTTTCATTCTTTTTTAAATTTCCCCGACAGGTACATGCTAAGCCTCGTATAAATTAACGCATGCGCAAGTTTTTTAAAACTTCACCTGATAGGCAGGAGTTCCCCTTCTTCCTAATTCCTATTCTGTGCCTGTTCTTTGTTCGTTATAGCCTTCATGTCCTTCTTGTCTTGTGAGATAGGGAACAAAGTTTGTTATAAATACAGTGGAACCTCCATATAACGGATACCAGTGGGACCAATGTTATTGTCCGTTGTAGAGAGGTGTCCACTGTATGGAGTTGTCATCTTATACAAAGAAATGACCATGTGAAATTTTGGGACTCAAATATCTGTCCGTTGTTTGGAGGTGTCTGTTGTATAGAGGGGTCCGTTGATGGAGGTTCCACTGTAATCTCAGCCAGAGGACACTTAGGCCCGTTGTATCTAATGTTGTCAAAATGATGACTGTTACTCGTTATTTCAGGGCAGGCAAGCTGAGTTACCAGATCGCTCTCAGCACAACCCAGTATCTTGATAAAGAAACGGACTACGCTGTTTGGCGGACAGCAATAAGCAATTTGAACTACATGAACAAAGTCCTGAGCGCCCGACCAGACTACAACGTGTTTAGGGTATGTTGTTTATTCGCCTCTGCGCAGGCATTTTGTAATAAATTATGCTTAAAATATGCAAGCTTGCTTTGCATATTTTTGAGTCATGATAATAATTATCATTGTTGTTGTATCAGCACTTGGCAATCTTTTGTACTCTGGAATAGATCGAAGAATTCACTAGTTTGTAATAAATTATGCTTAAAATATGCAAGCTTGATTCCCATCTTTTGAAATATGATGATGATGATTATTTAATTGTGTCAGCAATTGGCAATCGTTTGTACCGTAACCAAATACAAAAACAAAATCTATTTAAGTGGCTGCGAAAAACTGCAACAAATTGTGATAACCCTAAGACTTAGAAATAAACCGCGCTGTTCGGACGGTTCTTAAAAAAACTTTCGGCGCTGCTATGGTTAAATTCTTCGCATGCACCATGATGTTTGAAGTGCTTAAAAAGTTTTCGAATATTGTAAAATATTAGCTTCATGGCCAATATTTATTATTTGGGAGAGTATGCAAGCCTAGCATTTTCTACCCAATTTTTTGTTGGCTCTGTCACATAACTTGTTCCATGTGTTCCATAAATTATGACGGCTCTCTTCATGCCTCGAAAATCTTTGATCTGTAGTTCTCGACTCTTATTGCAACGCAAGGTGATGACTACGCATAGAATTAGGGAGAGACCTTGCAACTCTTCTCACTCTATGTGAAAGTTAGGTCAATGCAAGGACTCAGGAGGTTGGGTTTTGGAGTCCCCAAACCATACCGCTGAGTATGTTACCTCACCTCTTGACTCCTATGCCTGAGAACAGGGGGTAGCAAAAGGGGCATGGGGTAACAATATTTTAGAGGGTCCCCATGCCAAAGCAGACCGTACTGAGTTTGAAAATGTGCACATTACCTCTGTACGTTATTTTTAATATTTATAATAATATTTAATATAATATTAATAAAATATTGATAATATTTTAATATTTTTAATATTTAATATCTCTAAATGTTTATAACAGTTTCTGGTCCTCCAATTGTCAAAGTCCTAACCACCCCCATGCTTGAAAGTACAGGGAACTGATGACTACCATCACCCCCCTCCCCCCTCTTAATGAAGGTTTGGCCATTGCAAGGACTTGAACCTCAGACCTTTGAATCTGCAGTCGGCGACCCTTGCCACTGAGCCATTTTCTTAACTCTAACCAGGGATGAGATGACAGCAGCTTAATAAAGCATGATTGCAGAATATGTGAGAAACCTTTTAAGTGATGAAAATTACTGTTTATTGGTCTGTATTAAGCCATAGGCAGAGCTGTACCATGCATACATATGTCTGATGATCGTATTAATCATGAAACTCGGAGTAGCAACTTAGAACCGTCCAGTTCTATACACCACAAGCAATCTTCAAAGTATATAACATTAGTAATAATCATTACTGGTTTTGTTTCTAGAAATACATGATTCAGAAAATCAGGCCCATGGTGAAAGCAGTTGGTTGGAATGAGACAGAGAAGCATCTCAATCAGTGAGTTCTGTTTTTAGTTCAGATTTTAGTAAGAATATCTTTGGTACTGTCCTGCTGGCAGTGATGAATTGAACGTGGTTTTGTATTGTTGTGAAGGAAGGAAGGCTTGAAAGAAGTAAGTAAGAGAGGAAGAGAGGAAGGAAGGGAGAAGGAAGTAAAGAGTTAAGAGAAGGGAAAGGAGGGGATGGGAGGGTAGGGGAGAAAGGGAGGTATAAAGAAAGAAAAAGCAAGGGAAGAGGGAAGTAAAGGATGAAGGGAAGGGAAGGGAGGGAGAAAGGAAAGAAGGACAGGAAGAAATGAGAGGGGACGTTAAAAGAAGAGAGTGAGGGAGGAAGAACGAAGAAGGTAATGTCTGGAGAAGATAGGGAAGGGAGGAAGGTAGGGAGGGGGGAATGCAGGAAGGGAGGGGAGGAAAGAAGAAAGGTACAGTGATAGGAAACAAGGAATGGAGGGAAGGAGAGAAAGGATGGAAGATACGAAGTGAGTGAGGAAAGAAGAAGAGAAGAGGGAAGTAACAAATTCAGGAGTGAAGGGATGAAGAAAGTAAGAAAGGGAGGAATTCTTATGAGGAACTGGTCTGAGGAACTTTAAACCCTAAAGATGGGTCCGTATGGCTCATTTATGGTCCTAAGAGCGTTTAATACCGAGCTATATCTACTCTCTCCTCACTGTTTACTGAAAAAAACAGCTAGTTATTGAATATAAAGATTTAACAGTCACCTTTCTATATTTATTTTTAGGTACAAACAATCTCTTTTTCTATCTACTGCTTGCAATTACGGAGACGAAGAAACATTGGCTGAGGCCCAAAAGATTTTCAGTGATTGGATGACAAACAACAAAACGTATGTTTCAATTCATCACAAATATTCGCTTGTTTATTTATCAGAAACCTCGGATGTCATGTTTCTTTTTATTCGATGCATCTCTGTTCATAGTTACTTTCAAACATGGTAAAACAAATCATTGTACCTTTTTACATAAATAAAGTCTTATTTCAATTATATATTCATTTATTAAAGAACAAACTATTGCATTGAATAGAACTAGATCCCATTGTCTAATTTTTTTTTGAAACTTTCACAAAAGTCCAGGTCTCTGAAAACCAAATTTTGTGCAACGGTTATTAACTTGATCATGAAGATAAATCATGCCACCCCCGGTGCAATGTTGATATCATTCCTATCAAGCTAAAGATACCTTAACTTTGAACGGGGGAGAGGGGACTAAAAGCATGCTACTTGACCTGAGTTTACGTCTTTCTATTGACAGATGCGGCCATGATTGTTCACGTGATTCGAAATTAGCCAATAGGAAAGCAGATGATCATGATTCGCTTGATTCTGGCCATTCAGGGCCAACAAAGCTCTCACGTGACTTTTTACTTGTATAAGCGATTAATAATGTTGCTATTTTCATTATTCAGGATTAGAGCGCAGCTGAAATCCTTGATCTATTCCAATGGAGTTTCAAATGGAGGAAGCAAAGAATGGGATTTTGTATTTAAGAAATTCACAAACGAGAAAAACCCAACAGAGAAGGGCAAGCTGCAGAGTGCGTTGAGCGCCACACAAAAACCATGGATTTTGAGAAAATGGCTGGGCTATAGCCTCGATTCGAGTATCATTCGTACCCAGGACACTGTTTACGTCATAACAGCTGTTTCTGAAGGAAATCCAACAGGGAAGTATGTCGCGTGGGATTTCGCAAGAGCTAACTGGGAGAAATGCATGGAAATGTAAGTTCTTTGTGTTAAGTATTTCTTGTTTAATTATTTTTTGTTTGTTTTATATTCTATTATCGTTTTTTCTTGGTTCATTTTATTTCATCTTAGGGTTTAGTGAACCTTCACTGCCCTAAAAGTTCCTTTATTCGCCCTATATCACGACCTTGTTTTTAAACATGCTCTTTAGAAACATATCCCGAATATCGCTATCAAAACCAAAATCAAATTGTTATGGTATAGAAAGTACAACCTTTATGGGATCCAAGCTCTGGCAAGAGCTTACAAATGACATTAAAGCATCTTCTAGCCTCGCAATATTTGAGAAAAAGATTAAAACTTGGAAAGATACAAAATGCAACTGCAGACTTTGCAAACCTTGAGTTGCGCAGATTGGATTTTTGAAATAGTCATCAAATAATTGTATATTTTTATCTAATGAGTCATCCTTTTAATTCTGTACTTATATCCTATATCATTTTATCAACTCATTATAATTAATTTAAGATTTGTAAATGTAGTATAAATAGTAGACTTTAATTAGCTGTTGAAAGTTTGCTAAAAATTTATTAGCTAAAAATATTAGCTAGAAATTTGCTTCGCCTACTGTAAATAATTTTATAATAATAATAATAATAATAAATAAAACATCAATTACAGAATGACAGCCAATAACTTCCATGTTACAAGAATGACATCGGGTATAACTGCCCAGTTCACAACTGAATTTGAGCTGCAACAAGTAAGAACATCAGTATTTTTTATTTTTCCTCCTGAAGTTCTCGCCATTTGCTAATAAAAAGGCGATGCAATTTCAATCATAGTGCAGACACAAATTTACACTGAGATAAAGCAATTCAGGAGACACTGTTTGATTGGATGTACTGATTGCAATTTGCATTTCTTAACGACTGGATTTCCTTAACCAGTAATTTCTAAATCTTCTTATCCAGAGAGCTAGTAGATTTTATCCAAAAAGCTAGACAGAATTGTGGATTTAACGTTAGGAACAAAGATAATATATGATTGATTTGGTTTTGATTAGGAGGGTTGCTCTTCAGCGTTGTTGATTTTCAAGGGGCTATCCACTTACAAAGTCACAAAATTAGATTTAATAAATACAAATAATAAAATTTAGACTAATAAAAACTTGAAAAATTAGATTAAGGGAATATGATGTTACCTGATACAGTTTTTGTCAAAAGTACATGAAAAGGCCATAATGCCATTTGTTTTCTGAATTTTCGCAGGTAAAAGAATTCTGGAAGAAATACCCAGAGGCTGGGGCCGGGGCTAGAGCCCGTCAACAAGGGATGGAACAAATCCAAGCCAGTATTGATTGGGCGAAAAGCTATGCAGGAACAGTCGAAGCGTGGCTTAAGACGCAGGTCAAAGTCTAGGGCGTTTGAACGCAGCTGAGCGCAGATAACACGCGGGTTTGGTACCTGAGCGCAGATATCACGCATAATGTGCTGGTAAAGAAAACAGGCAAGCTCCTAAAAACTGCAGGACACTAAGGTGTGTAGAAATTTGTCCATTAATTCTAATCTTATCAATGTTTTCTGTGATTATAAGATTGATATCTAAATTTAATTATGGCAGGCCATTTGTAATATTTTTATTCAGGAAAAAGTTTAATCCTTAGCTGTAAACTAATGAATGAATCTGAAAAAATTGATTGTGGAAAATAAGAGCAGGGAAAATATATTTTGTGTTTGAGATCAACTGGAAGGCTTTTTAGATTCCAAAATAGAAAATCTATGTTCAAACAAATATCAAAAAATGTTTTGAATGGCTTTCATCTTTTTGCAATCAAAATCAAACAAAATAAATTTAACATGTTTCACCCCTTAAAATGTCTTTATTTCTTCCAAAAAACAGCTTTTATCTAAAAAACTAAATTAAATTCTTGTTTTTTCTGATCAATTAAAGGGCAATAAGCCTGTTTTTAGAACAAAAAATTTTCGAAAAAAATCGACGATTTTTCTAAGCCTATAGCCTAACTTTTAGATCGAAAATCGAGCCTTACAAAAAGTCTTTATTTCTTCCAAAAAACAACTTTTTTCAAGAAACTAAATTCAATTCTTGCTTTTTCTGATCAATTAAAGGACAATAAGACTGTTTTTAGAAGAAAAAAATTTCAAAAAAAATCGACAATTTTTCTAAGCCTATAGCCTTACTTTTTGATCGAAAATCGACCCCTACAAAAAGTCTTTATTTCCGCCAAAATACAACTTTTTTCTCAAAACTAAATTCATTTCCTGCTTTTTCTGATCAATTAAAAAGCAATAAGCCTGCTTTTAGAGGAAATTTTCGAAAAAAATTGACGATTTTTCTAAGCCTATAGCCTTACTTTTTTGATCAAAAATTGACCCCTACACAAAGTCTTTATTTCCTCGAGAAAACAACTTTTTTCCAAAAACTAAATTCATTTCCTGCTTTTTCTGATCAATTAAAACGCAATAAAGCTGCTTTTAGAAGAAAAAATTTTCAAAAAAAATCGACGATTTTTCTAAGCCTATAGCCTTACTTTTTGATCAAAAATTGACCCCTACACAAAGTCTTTATTTCCTCGAAAAAACAATTTTTTTCCAAAAACTAAATTCATTTCCTGCTTTTTCTGATCAATTAAAACGCAATAAAGCTGTTTTTAGAAAAAAAAATTTTCAAAAAAAATCGACGATTTTTCCAAGCCTATAGCCTTACTTTTTGATCAAAAATTGACCCCTTCACAAAGTCTTTATTTCCTCGAAAAAACAATTTTTTTCCAAAAACTAAATTCATTTCCTGCTTTTTCTGATCAATTAAAACGCAATAAAGCTGTTTTTAGAAGAAAAAATTTTAAAAAAAAATCGACGATTTTTCCAAGCCTATAGCCTTACTTTTTGATCAAAAATTGACCCCTACACAAAGTCTTTATTTCCTCGAAAAAACAATTTTTTTCCAAAATCTAAATTCATTTCCTGCTTTTTCTGATCAATTAAAACGCAATAAAGCTGTTTTTAGAAAAAAAAAATTTCAAAAAAAATCGACGATTTTTCCAAGCCTATAGCCTTACTTTTTGATCAAAAATTGACCCCTACACAAAGTCTTTATTTCCTCGAAAAAACAATTTTTTTCCAAAAACTAAATTCATTTCCTGCTTTTTCTGATCAATTAAAACGCAATAAGGCTGTTTTTAGAAGAAAAAATTTTCAAAAAAAATCGACGATTTTTCTAAGCCTATAGCCTTACTTTTTGATCAAAAATTGACCCCTACACAAAGTCTTTATTTCCTCGAAAAAACAACTTTTTTCCAAAAACTGAATTCATTTCCTGCTTTTTCTGATCAATTAAAACGCAATAAAGCTGTTTTTAGAAGAAAAAATTTTCAAAAAAAATCGACGATTTTTCCAAGCCTATAGCCTTACTTTTTGATCAGAAATGGACCCTTACAAAAAGTCTCTATTTCTTCCAAAAAACAACTTTTTTCTCGAAACTAAATTCAATTCTTGCTTTTTCTGATCAATTAAAAAGCAATAAGCCTGGTTTTAGAGGAAATTTTCGAAAAAAAATTGACGATTTTTCTAAGCCTATAGCCTTACTTTTTTGATCAAAAATTGACCCCTACACAAAGTCTTTATTTCCTCGAAAAAAACAACTTTTTTCCAAAAACTAAATTCATTTCCTGCTTTTTCTGATCAATTAAAACGCAATAAAGCTGTTTTTAGAAGAAAAAATTTTCAAAAAAAATCGACGATTTTTCCAAGCCTATAGCCTTACTTTTTGATCAGAAATGGACCCTTACAAAAAGTCTCTATTTCTTCCAAAAAACAACTTTTTTCTCGAAACTAAATTCAATTCTTGCTTTTTCTGATCAATTAAAAAGCAATAAGCCTGGTTTTAGAGGAAATTTTCGAAAAAAAATTGACGATTTTTCTAAGCCTATAGCCTTACTTTTTTGATCAAAAATTGACCCCTACACAAAGTCTTTATTTCCTCGAAAAAAACAACTTTTTTCCAAAAACTAAATTCATTTCCTGCTTTTTCTGATCAATTAAAACGCAATAAAGCTGTTTTTAGAAGAAAAAATTTTAAAAAAAAATCGACGATTTTTCCAAGCCTATAGCCTTACTTTTTGATCAAAAATTGACCCCTACACAAAGTCTTTATTTCCTCGAAAAAACAATTTTTTTCCAAAAACTAAATTCATTTCTTGCTTTTTCTGATCAATTAAAACGCAATAAAGCTGTTTTTAGAAGAAAAAATTTTCAAAAAAAATCGACGATTTTTCTAAGCCTATAGCCTTACTTTTTGATCAAAAATTGACCCCTACACAAAGTCTTTATTTCCTCGAAAAAACAATTTTTTTCCAAAAACTAAATTCATTTCCTGCTTTTTCTGATCAATTAAAACGCAATAAAGCTGTTTTCAGAAGAAAAAATTTTCAAAAAAATCGACGATTTTTCCAAGCCTATAGCCTTACTTTTTGATCAAAAATGGACCCTTACAAAAAGTCTCTCTTTCTTCCCAAAAACAACTTTTTTCTCGAAACTAAATTCAATTCTTGCTTTTTCTGATCAATTAAAAAGCAATAAGCCTGTTTTTAGAAGAAAAAAATTTCGAAAAAAATTGACAATTTTTCTAAGCCTATAGCCTTACTTTGTGATCAAAAATCGACCCCTACACAAAGTCTTTATTTCCTCGAAAAAACAATTTTTTTCCAAAATCTAAATTCATTTCCTGCTTTTTCTGATCAATTAAAACGCAATAAAGCTGTTTTTAGAAAAAAAAAATTTCAAAAAAAATCGACGATTTTTCCAAGCCTATAGCCTTACTTTTTGATCAAAAATTGACCCCTACACAAAGTCTTTATTTCCTCGAAAAAACAATTTTTTTCCAAAAACTAAATTCATTTCCTGCTTTTTCTGATCAATTAAAACGCAATAAGGCTGTTTTTAGAAGAAAAAATTTTCAAAAAAAATCGACGATTTTTCTAAGCCTATAGCCTTACTTTTTGATCAAAAATTGACCCCTACACAAAGTCTTTATTTCCTCGAAAAAACAACTTTTTTCCAAAAACTGAATTCATTTCCTGCTTTTTCTGATCAATTAAAACGCAATAAAGCTGTTTTTAGAAGAAAAAATTTTCAAAAAAAATCGACGATTTTTCCAAGCCTATAGCCTTACTTTTTGATCAGAAATGGACCCTTACAAAAAGTCTCTATTTCTTCCAAAAAACAACTTTTTTCTCGAAACTAAATTCAATTCTTGCTTTTTCTGATCAATTAAAAAGCAATAAGCCTGGTTTTAGAGGAAATTTTCGAAAAAAAATTGACGATTTTTCTAAGCCTATAGCCTTACTTTTTTGATCAAAAATTGACCCCTACACAAAGTCTTTATTTCCTCGAAAAAAACAACTTTTTTCCAAAAACTAAATTCATTTCCTGCTTTTTCTGATCAATTAAAACGCAATAAAGCTGTTTTTAGAAGAAAAAATTTTCAAAAAAAATCGACGATTTTTCCAAGCCTATAGCCTTACTTTTTGATCAGAAATGGACCCTTACAAAAAGTCTCTATTTCTTCCAAAAAACAACTTTTTTCTCGAAACTAAATTCAATTCTTGCTTTTTCTGATCAATTAAAAAGCAATAAGCCTGGTTTTAGAGGAAATTTTCGAAAAAAAATTGACGATTTTTCTAAGCCTATAGCCTTACTTTTTTGATCAAAAATTGACCCCTACACAAAGTCTTTATTTCCTCGAAAAAAACAACTTTTTTCCAAAAACTAAATTCATTTCCTGCTT